AAAAACCAATTAGCTACCTGTATTTGTAATCCCTTGTGTATTATACCTATATATTAACTCAAAAATTTGAAACTTTAAATGTTTATATCTAATAAACAAATTAAGTTTTATTAAAAATTCAAATGCCATTTATTATTGAATTAAAAACTCAAACATTTTATTAAATTAAAAATATGTGTTACCATTTAAAAAAACAAAGTTGACACCCTTACCAGGCATAAGGGATGAACTTAAAAAGTATTACATAGTTAATAATTCAAGAATTATGTGTAACTAAAGATAATAATAAAAAAACATTTTTAAATTATTATTATTCTATAAGTAATTGAGTGGGTTATGATAAAAAAATCACTCTGTATAATAAACAAATTAAATATTTAATTTTTATAAAAATATATAATATTTAAATCATAAGGAAAATATGGAAAATTTTATTCGAAGAACATTGAGAGAATAAGAAATAACACTTCAATGCGAAGAAGAAAATTGTTCGAAGCGGGTAAAAAAAGAATCAAATCGAGTGCTTCACTTAAATTTAGTGGACCCGATAGAGATTACGGTTTAGTAGAACCCTTAGATAATATTCCATCTGAAGAAGAGCTACGTGAGAAGATGAGTAATTTTTTGGTAAAATTAAACGAAGTTGATGTAAAAAAACTAGAATTTTCTACAAGGGATCAACGCCACAGCCAAGATTGGTACATAGAAAGAAAAAAAAGACTTACTGCATCAAATTTTGGAGATATTTGTAAAATGCGTGTCAATACAAGTTGTCGCAAAAAAGTGTACAGTCTTTTATATGGTCCTCGTGTCACATCGAAGGAAATGTCTTACGGAATTGAAATGGAGCATCAGGCTAGAACTCTTTTTGAGCAGCTTTATGAAAAGCATGTTCAAGCAAATGGATTATTTGTTGATAAGGAGTACGCTTTTTTGGCAGTAAGTCCTGGTAGTACTATTTATAATTTTCATTATAACATAAACTAAAGAATTTATCATTTTATTTAGATGGCCTGATTGAAAACACAGCTATAATAGAAATTAAATGCCCATATGTAGCTAGGTCCACAGAAAATGCAGTTGAAGCTGTCCAACAAAAATTAGTTAAATATTTTATTTTACTTACTATTTATTTTACTATAAACATGTTTATCATTTTCAGTTACCATATTGCGTGATTAAAAATAATAAAATTGAACTAAAAAAAGAGCATAAATATTATTACCAGGTTATGGGCCAAATGCGAATAACAGGTAGAGAAATTTGTTATTTTATTATATATACGCCAATTTGGATAAACGTCCAAGTAATTAAATATGACCATGAATTTTGGATTACAAAAATGGAGGAAAAATTAAAAATGTGAATATTTTATTAACTATTTACAAAATTCATTACTTAAAAGGGAATGTCATAAATGACTGAATGACGTTTTAGATTTTACTTGGAGTGTCTTTTGCCAGAAATAGTTTGTCCTTTGTATGGAAAACGTTTAGAACTAACGGACATAAGAGAGCCATAACACATACAAGA